TCTACAGCTTTCTGCTCCCCAGTGACACATAGTCTAATGGCTTTATTTTTCAGGGCTGTGTCCACTTAATACTATACTATATGACTTTATAACACTAATTAATAAAAAAGCATAGCATTATTGAGGCACTGCAAATTATTTAATCCCAACAGCACTCAACAACAAAATGGTAAATGGCCCGTATTTGTATAGCGCTTTTACTTAGTCCCTATGGACCCCAAAGCGATATACACTAAATTGAGTCAATCACCCATTCACACTCACATTCACACACTGGTGATGGCAAGCTACATTGTAGCCACAGCTGCCCTGCACTGACAGAGGCAAGGCTGCCAGACACTGGCGCCACCAGGCCCTCTGACCACCACCAGTAGGCAACAGATGAAGTGTCTTGCTCAAGGACACAGCAACCGAGACTGTTGGAGTCGTGGCTCAAACCTTCCAATTACAAGACGAACTGCCAACTCTTGGGCCACGATTGCCCAAATTGCATTTTATTTCTTCATGTCAAAATATGGGCCGCAAGTAGAGGTGACGTGGGCCGCAAGTGGCCCCCAAGCCACGAGTTTGAGACCCCTGTTGTAGGGTCTACCTTACAATATAAAACACCTTGACGCGACTGTTGTTATGATTTAGCGCTGTATAAATAAAATTGAATTGAATTCTTGCACTTTTTAAACTATTAGCCTGCTTGGCCATTTGTTAGCAAGTATTTACATTATTCAGTTATTACTGAATTGAACTGAATTATGTTGTAAACTGTCTGGATGTGCTTGGGAAGAGAGACATTATTTTACTGCATAATATAGTACTGATCACATCAGCTGATTGCGCCACTCAGTACACTCAGCCACATAAGGAAAAATAATTTTCTCACTCCAGTTTCTCGGTCTGGTGAACCACTGGTCACCTGACTCAAACAGGGGCTCCTCCGCACAGTCCTCATTCATATAGTGCCTCATGAGCCTGAACATTACAGCTGACAGGTGGATTTCCCTGTGTCAGTTTAGCTAGTCAAATAATGAAGAACCACTTACTGTTAAAGAAGCAGAGAGTGAAAGTGGATCATGGGTTTTAACATAAAACTCATTGTGGCACCAATGGGCAGCACAAAAGTGATCCCCTTAGACCAGGGCTCTAGAGTGCGACCAAATTTTTCAATGGTGCGACTAAAAAAAATCTTTGGTCGCACTGTTCGGGGAGCAAGAAAAATAAAAGATTTCTGCAACTCTCCGTGTGGTCAACAACAGACACACATTATGCCTCTATCGTGGACTAAACCAGTCAGAGATAGTCAGGGGCAGAACCTCTCTGATTGGCCGTGGTCCAGTTGAAAGTGCAGGTGGATAGAGAGAGGTGAGTAGCTTGAATAAAGCGATATTGATTCATTAAATCCTGAA